TTTCCCTTCTGCTTCTCTGCCTCCCCAGCCTTCTTTCCCAGCTTAGCTCTGGCTTCTTTGCTTCTGCCAACCCCTAGCTCTCTCTCCTCCTGGATTCTCTGCCTCCCAGCCCCATCTCCACTGCGTCCTCCACCTGGGGCCCCAAGTGCCCCCCAGTCACCAAGCACCCCCTAGTGCTAAAACACAGCCATCAAAGTGCGTGTTTGTGCTTGTGTATGTGTATGGACTGGTAATTTTGTATGTGCACCTTGTGTGCGTGTATAAACTTTGTCTCATGTCCATCCCCACACCCCCCAAATGAGCCACTTGTGGCTCTGTCCCATGCCCTGAACCAGCTGGGAAATGCATATTGTCGGCACTCTGGTGTCCAGGGGGGTTGCCCTGCTCACGCCACCCCCTGCTTGCTATGGCACTGCTTCTTAATATGGACCATTCCAAGCCCCTTACCTAAGCATTCTTTTTCTCTCAGTGGTGCCCTTTTGTGGAACAGAATGACTCAAGGCTTTTGTCCCAATTTTCAAAGCCCTTCATGTGCCAACCTAAAATAACTGCTTTACCTGCATGATTGTAGTCTCTAGTGGAACCTGTTAAGAAACAACCAGTCACCCCAAGAATTTGACTCAAGAGTAGAGAATGCAGAACTTCCTCAACAAGTGGCCCATGAATCACAGACTCATTCCAGAAAAAATCAGGATGATCCTAAATACACAGAGAGATGCATTCTTTTTTTTGACCAAGGCCTTCACACAATAGCACCTCATTCAAATGCACAGATGAATATGCCCACATACAAATGGATCAAGTCTGTTCCTTGTATGAAAGAACAGACTGAGAGGAAGATCAGTGATGTGGAAGTGGTGTGGAAGGGGTAAGGGAGTGGAAGGGGTGAGGGAGTGGAAGCGGTGACTGAGAAATGTAAAGGGAGTCGAAGGGGTGGGGTAATTTCAGCTCAAAATAAAGCTAGAAATGATTCCAGGCCCCAAACCCCATACCATCATTTGAAGAATTAAGATCCAGAACTGAGCATTTTTGAAGACTCATCTCTACAGAAGTGTGAATGAAGACAGTGAGTATCTGCAAATGCCCTTTGACTCTGGTTTGGTGGTGGTAGACATTGGCAAGATCATTCTAGTGCTGTCCAAGCTGATCTGTCCTTCCAATAAATAGAGACCTCTGTGGTTGCCTGGCACATTTTGCTAGCAAAATCATTTAATGGTAATTGCAGAATGAAAACTTCTTATGCTGTAATGGGCAGGAGGGAGGACTTTAAGGGAATGATGCTTTGTCTGAATGCGCTGGAGAACTGAAAAATAGAGACAAAGCCCCACTGAGGCAGAATCCAATATACTGATTCCCTGATTGCTATGTCTATTGGAACAATTAAAAATATGGTTTATAAATTTGTACTGAATCCCAAAGCTATTCAATTAGTGGCCCAAAGCTAAGAACATGAGCTTTATTTAAATTTGTCACCATGTGGTGTCAAAGCTCAGGGTAGGGAGGAATAAATGCACTTCAATCCAAATACCATTTCTCAATTACTTTAACCAGAAGCACAAATGCTTTCTGGATTATTTCTAATATTGGGCCCCGCTCCACTTCTTCCCTGGCCTCTTCTTGTTTCTTCCCATAATGCCTCTTGATTTTTTCTGACTCCTGCTGATGCTTTTCTTCCAGGGCTTTCATTTCTGGCAACATTTTGACTTCTCCTTCTTTTACCTTCTTGAGTTCTTCCTCTAGCTTTTGCATTGCCTTTTGGTGATCCAACTGCATCTTCTCCATCCTCATTTCTAGCTCCTCTGCATACCTTCTCCTCAGAAGATTGGTTTCTTCCTGAAGCTTTTTCTCAGCAAAATCATACTGCTCATTCGTGAAGCATGTGCCACCGTTCTCCTGCACCTTCTTCTCTATCATCATCAGCAGGTCATTGACCTGGGTCTCTTGCTCCTGCCCAGTGGCTCGGTTGTTGAATGCACAGTAACTTTGTCCAAACTTGCTGATCAGCTCCTGCATGCCAGCCACCCCGGACTCTTTTAAATATTTCTCCAGATTCATACCCTCCAGATCATCTTTGCGGGTGAACAGCAGGATCATGTATCTCAGGGCTCCTTCTCCAAAAATGTTTTGTATTCTTTTGACTGCTTCTTGTTCCTCCTTGGTGTAGCGGCCTAGGGGCACCACCAGTACTATAGCATGAGGCCCCGGGGAGGAAACCAAGATGCAGCGGCTGATCTCATGATAAATTTCCTCTTTCGGTTTATTTGTGTCAAAAATGCCAGGAGTATCAACAACAACAACTTTCTTCTTTCTCCAGAACCTTTCCTTCTTGCTGCATTCCTGGGTGACTGACTTTGCTGAAAGACTGGACTCAAACATTTTCTGACCTAGGACGGTGTTTCCTGTGGCACTTTTCCCTGCACCGGTTTTACCAACTAGAACAATCCTCAGCTCTGAGTCCACTGTGTATCGTTCACCATTTCTTGGGTCTGTTGGAAACAAATTCAGCTGTCACAACAGTGCATGGCACAGGAAACACAGAGATTGGTGGGTTCTAGTGTCTCCATTTTATACTAACAAACATATTTTAATTAACTTGTTTTAAAATAATACTACTAAGGGACACACACAGTTAGAAATTTGGACTTATTCTGAAAATGAAGCAAGTCTGTTGACCTTATCCAAGTCAGAGAGAGATAGTTAGTCCTGTTTGTCTGCATTGAGTCAGAAGGTTTGGTAGATATACACCTTTAGAGACTGTCGAAATAAGTTATAGAGGCAGAACCTACATTTCATGGGCTGAAGCCCAATTCCAAGCCATCAGTAAATCTTATTCCCACAAAAGAGCCCTCAAGTTTGCATTTGATGGAGTCTCCAGTCCCTGAAGACCCAAGACTAGAATAGAAATTAGGTTCCACATAACTGTGCACTGGCTGTGGGAAGACTATAGAAAATACCTGCCTTATTCTCCCTGATCCAGCACCCACCTATGACCCTTAGGGCATGTCCAGATGAGCGTACACATGTGTCTTACAGTCTCAAAGCCCTTTGAAATGCTGCAAGAGGCATGTGCAGGAATGATAAAATATTCGACGATATCAACGCCGATAAATGCAAGGTTCTCCACCTTGGGAAAAAAAACCCGCAGCATCCTTATAGGCTCGGCAGTGCTATGTTGGCTAGCACTATGGAAGAAAGAGACTTGGGGGTCATCATTGACCACAAGATGAACATGAGCCTGCAAGGCGATGCGGCGGCTAGTAAAGCGACCAAAACGCTGGCTTGCATCCATAGATGCTTCTCAAGCAAATCCCGGGACGTCATTCTCCCCCTGTACTCGGCCTTAGTGAGGCCGCAGCTAGAGTACTGCGTCCAGTTTTGGGCTCCACAATTCAAAAAGGATGTGGAGAAGCTTGAGAGAGTCCAGAGAAGAGCCACGCGCACGATCAGAGGTCAGGGAAGCAGACCCTACGATGACAGGCTGAGAGCCCTGGGGCTCTTTAGCCTGAAAAAGCGCAGGCTCAGGGGTGATCTGATGGCCACCTACAAGTTTATCAGGGGTGACCACCAGTATCTGGGGGGAACGTTTGTTCACCAGAGCGCCCCAAGGGATGATGAGGTCGAACGGTCACAAACTACTTCAAGATCGTTTCAGGCTGGACATAAGGAAGAATTTCTTTACTGTCCGAGCCCCCAAGGTCTGGAACAGCCTGCACCCGGAGGTGGTTCAAGCGCCTTCATTGAACACCTTCAAGATGAAACTGGATGCTTATCTTGCTGGGATCCTATGACCCCAGCTGACTTCCTGCCCTTTGGGCGGGGGGCTGGACTCGATGATCTTCCGAGGTCCCTTCCAGCCCTGATGTCTATGAAAAAATTCCCTGCACTGCAAATTTGAAAAACAGGGGCAAAATTAGACCCCTAGATATCCAGGGTATTTAAAAAAAATGCACAGAAAGAAAAACAGGGCAGTGCCCTAAAGCAAACAGAGGCTGGGTCCTCCACAGAGATGCTCTGGTAGCACGCCCATGAAGAGCAAGCAACAGGCCAGCTGCAGGGAGCTGGACCCAGGCTCCACTGCAGGTAAGGGGTCGGGGGCTGGAGGAGGGGGGGGGGGCCCATGGGGGGCCCCCCTGACCCTCCCATTCCCGCCCCACCCTGCCCCATCCCCTGCCTGCCTCACTAATCTCTGCCCCACCCAGCCCCATCCCTCCTCATCCTCCCAAACCTCCCTGATCCCTGCCCCATCTGGCCCCATCCCCTGCCTGCCCCCGAGCCCCGCCATCACTGCCTCTCCATGCCCCAGCATCCCAGCCATTAAAAAACAAAACCAAAAAAAAAACCCTCACTCACCAGCAGGAGCAGCTGCCATTGGGGTCACTGCGCCAACCACCCCTGCACAGCACGGTGCAGGGAGACAGTCCCAGTGGCCCCAGTCCAGGCCCTTCTGCCCCCCACTGCCCCATGCTGCATGGGGTGCTCTGCCAGGAGGCCCTGGAGTCCCCATAGCCCTTGCTTCTGTGGTGAGTAGAGGCTTTTTTTTTAAGTGCTGGAGGCTTGTGGGGGGGGAGCCATAGGGGGCTTGTCGTGCAAGCAGGGAATAGGGCTGGGCAAGCAGAGAATGGGGAAGCCTCCAGGGGGGATGCAGGAGCTGGTGGGGGATGGAGCCAGGTGGGCAGCAACCTGGGGGCTGGGAGTACAAGCAGAGGTGGGGCATGTTGACCCTGCAGGGTAGGTAGCCCCTGCAGGGGCCCTTTGGCCATGGCTGGGGGGCTGTGGCTGCTGGGGGTGGGGCTGTGGCTCCTGGAGGGGGGCCGTAACCCCTGTAGCCCCTGTGGAGGGCTGTAGCCCCTGTTGGGGGGCTGTGGCCCCTATGGAGAGCAGAAAAACATATAGGTATTTAGAATTCACTTTATTATTATGATGATAGAGACAGTGGTAGGCTTCCAAATTGCTTTAATACTATAGATATATCAATAAAACATTGCCCAACTGATCGCTGTCTCTCTGTCTTCCTCTCTATATATAGGGGTCTTTTCTTTTAATTGCGGAGGAACATGGATTTCAGGGTATTTTACACAGTGACTTTGGGAATTATTTTCAGGGATTTTTCAGTTTTCAGATAGGGAACACCAGAATTCCTGATAGGGAGGCCAGTGGCAGGGCACTGCCCGCCCCGAACTGGCGGGAGGCCAGTGGCAGGACACTGCCTGCTCAGAGCTGGCACCTTGGACCTGGCCAGAGGTGGCTGACCTCCTGGCCAACTGGGGCCAGGAGGACATGTTTTGACATTTCAAAGCAGGCCAGCACACCGGGAACTTTTTTGGGGCAATAGCTGCCCAAATGGCCGACCAGGGGGCATACATGGCAGTAGTGCCACTCAAAGGCCAACCTTGCAGCCACAGTCCACTGGCTCAAATTTGCACCACTTCTATTTCATCTGTTACAAGCGCACATACTTGCACGTGTGAATGCTCCCATAGATTCCAAGTTACTAAATAGTTAAAAAAAACCCAAAACTAAAACTTTTAGCAAACTTCCACCCTAATCCGCTTAGATGAACATTAGTCTGGGCCTTAGTTGGCTCAGCCCCATTCAGCTCAGCTCACCCCAGCCCATCACTACTGCTATGTGGGCAACTCCAGGGCAGTCTGAGGGCTGGTTGCTGTGCTGTTGACTGAGAAATGTAATCAGGAGAGGAGCAGTGGTGGCTTAATGAATGATTTCATAACTGCCCCTCAGGGAACTTGTGTGGAAAGAAGAAAGACCATTTCAGTTGTCTGAGGCCTTTTATCTTGCCAGATGTCAGAGACCTGATGCAAACTATGATACTGCTAGAGACTGATGCTACAAGGACCCTTTAAAAAGGAAAGTGCAAAGGGGAGTTCACAACAGTGATCCTTAAGATCACTGCTATCTGCCCCAATTACAAATATACAGGTGCTGGTTTCTTACCCTGTGGAGTTTCTTCATCTCTCTCCTGAAGACTCTCTTCCATAATTCCCTGGAATATCTGCAACAGACCAGCTTCACCTAGAAACACTAAGGAAAAATAATTTCTCAAAGAAAAATTCCCAGGTGCTAGTAATCACTTGCCCACCAGTAAGGGATGTGGAGAGGTTTATGTGTGCTTTGTGTGTGTATGTGTATGGGGAGGGCTTCAGTCCCACTTGGCTAAGTGTTGTTGATTGATTAGGCACATATAAAATTAAGCACCTTCATTGTATGAAATTTAACAAAGTAGAAGTTTTCTGAGAATAGGGACTCCCTTTTGAAGCTATAATGCAAATCCACTCAGCTACCATGATTTTCCCAATCAAATAGTCATATTTAATATTCTCAAGGGCAGGATAAGTACTGAAGCCCACATACCTGAATTTTTTTACAGCATGTTATAGGATTAATTCTTTTACTGGAAGTACCGATGGAAGATGGGCAGGGGACAGATTAGTCTGCACAGGCCCTGCATAAATTACTGTGTCCTTTAGAGACACTCTGTGAGATACAGGAAACTGATCTGGATTAACCTGAGGCCTAACCCAGTAAATAGTATTTCTAATGTTCTTCTTTTCTCCACAGAGAGGTAGTTAACTATGTCAACCATGTTAGTCTGAAATCAGGCAGGGTAGATCTATAACTTTATATACTAGCTAGAGAAAGTATAGAGAAAGCACAAGTTTTGGTGAACTCAAGCTCATCCATTTTATCCCGACCTCTTTCTCAGTTTCTGCCTTCCTCTTCTTTCATTGTGGAATCACTCTCCCCACAGAATAAAATCAGAGTCAGCACTCTTAATAATGTTAAATTATTACTAATAGGGATAGAACAACATACAGGACAGAGAGAATGCCAGTGTACCTGGAAGCCCCCTGTTTAAATCTGTGCTCAGAGGTGCACTTATTTCACAGGAAGTCTAAAAGCACCAAGAATAAGACAGGAATACAAGAAGCAATGGTCTCAAATTGCAGCAAGGGAACTTTAGTTTGGAGATCAGGAAAAACTGTATCACTCTGTAGGTGGTTCAGCAAGAGCACAGGCTGCCCAGAGAGCTTGTGGGATATCCATCCTTGGAGGTTTTTAAGAGCAGGGTGGAAAGCTTTGGGCAGCTGAAGATCTCTAGAACAATTTGGAGCTTTCCCTAGTAAGCTGTGTGCTTCTCTCCTTCTATACGCTTCAGCTTTGGTACTCCTGAAGACAGGCTTCATACACGGTGGGTACAAATGAACCTGAACTTAAAGTGAGATGATAAACTCCAGTGTACTTCGTGCCACAGTACACTGCTCCCAAGTGCAGTGTCTACATGTGCTCCTGGGACAGCTCCTGCTCCACCCCTCAGCACTGAGGAGGGGTGGAGCAGCCTGGGCTGGAAGAAGGCTTGTGGGATCAGTCCCAGGCTCCAAGAGGCAGCGGCGAGCAGTGAAGCAGCTGGCTGGGGTATGAGGGTGTTGAAATTGTGAAGCCATGTGGCTAGGTGGCAGGCAGGAATATGGCCCCTGCTGCCTGTTCTGACCGGGTGCAATTTATGCCTGCGATCACTGATTACACATGCATTTACTTCCACTTAATTACTGTTCCTAATGCTACTATCTTATGGTGGAGTTAATTAATTTCCTGTGTCATGATACCAGCGTACATATAGACTGTGATGCTTTACTATGGAGCTGAGAAGTCGACACGGCAGTAAAGCTCAAGTGTAGATGCACCCACTGATATTAAGAACAAAGAAATCAGCTGAGTGCTGGCAGTCTGTCCGGCTTATTCATCTGTACTTTCATTCTCTACGGCACACTTTCTAGCCAGATCAATACACTTCCTTTCTGCCCCTAAATCCCTCTCCCCTTACTCACATTACCTTTGGGGTGCTGCTTCAGCTGGGAGATCAAATTAGTGCTGTGCCTTCAGCTTTTCAGGTGTTTCCAATGTCTGCCTCATGCTCCAAGCAGCTTGCCTGCACAGAAATGACCTGGCTCTTCTGACTTCTCCTTTTCAGCAATGGCTTCACAACATAAACTGGTGTAAAACAAAAAAGAAAGAGAGAGAGAGAGAGAGGGCTCTATTGGTGGAAACTGCCACTCACGTACAGGCAGTGCCCCCCCCCCCCAGCCGATACCATAGGCCACAGGAGCTGCTCTGAATGCTGCAGGGAAGGGTGTGTGCAGAACAGCAGCAGATAAGAGTGTTTAAAATGAAACTGGAGTTTCTGCTGCATAACTGTGAACAGCCTGAACCAGGATGAATAGTTCAAATGCTGCCCATTCCAGGGGAAAGGTGGATTGAACTGATGGGACTTTTCAAAAGCCACACTGCACCCTGGTGTGTGAAATGCCCCAAACACAAAGAACCAAGAGCCTTGCATGGGAAAGCTTGTCCAACTGTATCCCAACTCTGTCCCCTAAAGAAATCCTCATCTGTCCTCATGTTGCTCTTAGACCAGATGTTGCCCTTCCATGAAATGCCCAGTCACAGTGGTCATGGAGAACAAGTGAGGTTTGTGACACAAGCTCTATGAACCCTGCTGTGATGCAGCTTCACAGCACATGGTGTCCACTGCTGATGACCTGTCTCCTCAAGGCATCACATGGCATCTTAGAAGAACTTTATCCCAGCAGTCCCACACTGAAACACCCCCTGCACCAGACCATGAGGCCTCCATCCCCCTTGAACAAAATAGCGGGCCAGGGTCCCAGCCCATGCTCGGTCTCTTTCATGCTTCATTATGGCATCGCTGAGAATCAGCCTCTGGGCATGCATACACTGACAGTGTGTTGGAAAGCCTCAATAAAAGCCCACATCCGTGAATAACAGCCACAAATCAGCAGTCTAATCCACTCTCCTTTTAGAATAGAAATGCAACAGGAGTGTCAGGAAATAACAAACAGAAGAGGCTGTAAACATATGGGTGGAAATGGAAACCCCTCACCCCAACTAAGAAATAGCAGGAAACCAGAGAGACAGAAGATAGCGAGGTCCAGACTGAGTGCAGCAGTCCACACCCTTCGCTGCACCCAAAACTCCAAAAGGTGATTATCAGTCCATTAGCACAGGAATCCCAGAGAAAACCCACACTTTACTTTGGTCTCCATGAAGATGAGAAGCATTTGGGGGTCTCACTGGAGACCTGGTTAGTCCAAGCACTGATTAGTGCATACACTGCTCACACTAAGGCTTTGCTACAGCATTGACCAGTGTCAGCCTTGTGAGCTAAGGGCTGCATGTACAAGCTGAAGCCAGAACATGTGTACAGGGACTGGCACAGGGTAACCAAATGATAGACAATGTGCAGCCCTTCCAGGAAAGGGAATCATGTCTTTCAAGAGTGAAACTCAAATGAAGAACCAAAAACCCAGTTCTCGTTACACTTCCTGAAGACTCTTTGCTTCTCAGGCAGATTTTTGTTGGTGAAGTCATGTGTCTCCTCTCTGCCTCCCCTCCTCCAGGCCACGTGACACTGCTACAGAATTAAACAGATGCATTGTGCTTTCTTTTTCCGTACACAGACTCAATACAGAGCTAAACTGAGACCATTTTATGAAGAGACACCATTTCAGTTCACGTCAGGCATATTATCATGCCGGCCGTCCGTAGGGGACAGTGCCGAACTCAGAGGTAGCAGAAGACAGTGAAGGAAGAAGGCAGAGTCTTGTACTCTGAGATAGAAAAGCCTGGCAAAGGCATTTAGATTCATTTGTGCATTTGCTTACATGCTTAAAACAAGTTTGTGGAACTGAGAATCTTCTATGAGCTTTTCCCTGGCTTTCAGTAAGAAAATCCATGAGAGAGACTGGATTTTGCAGTTGTTAAATGTCTGAAAAGGAGAATGAGGCAGGTGGTAGATGGCAGAGCAGACAGAAATACAGTAAGTGCAAACTTGATGGTGATTAGTAGCCACTGTTTCCTGAAGCTTGTTTGGATCAGTAACACTGTCACTGCTCCTGTTGCACCCAGCAGCACACAACAGCTGATAACCCACCATGATGGCAGCTTTAGTGCTAGTATATAGGGAATCATAGAATCAAGGAAAACAAGGGCTGGAAAGGACCTTGGGAGGTCACTTTTAGTCCAACCCTGTGCTCCAAGGAGGACCTGCCCCTACTACATCATCCCAGCCAGGGCTTTGTCTACCCAGCTCTTAACCACCTCCAGGGATGGAGACTCCACCACCTCTCTGGGTAACCCGTTCTAGTGTTTCACCACCCCCTTTGTGAGAGTTTTTCTTAATATCCAACCTCAACTTGCCTTGCTGCAACTTGAGCCCATTGCTCCTTGTCCTGCCATCTGCCCCCACTGAGACCAGCCCAGCTCCATCCTCTTTGCAACCCCCTTCAGGTAGGTGAAAGCTGCTATTCAATCCCCTCTCAGTCTTCTTTTCTCCAGACTAAATAAGCCCAGTTCCCTCAGTCTCTTCTCACAAGTCCTGTCTCTCAGGCTCCAACCATTTTCATTTCCCTCTGCTGGGTTCTCTCCAATGTATCCACATTCCCAGCCCATACTAGTTTTCCTTCATGCTTCTCTACCTTTCTATTCTTGCATGCACACCCTGACAACATGTTGGAAAGTCTGGGGGATGTATGGGTTTTTCAGGAATTGCTGTGTCAAGGGGAGCACAGAGATACTGCAGAAAATCCTCCCTTTACTTTGGTGTCCATAAGGTTGAGAAGCATTTGGCGGGGCAGATATAATGGGAGACCAGGCTAGTATGAGCGCTGATTAGCACATACACTGTTCATGCTAAGATTTTGCTAACATATAGATGAGTGTTGGCCTTGTGAGCTGTGACTGCAGTGTTGCCAAGTCCCATGATGTTTGCATTGTTTTTAAAGTCTACACTTTGGGAATGTGAAAATCTTAGCTCTATCTATCTATCTATCTATCTAGATATATCTATATCTATAGCTATATCTATATATACACATATATATGTGTGTGTGTATATATATATATATATATATATACACATATAAATATATATATAGACAGAGAGAGAGAGAAAGAGAAAGATATAGATATATGAATATAGATAAAAGAAAAGGCTGTTTTTTCACATTCCCAAAGATCAAACTTTAAAAACAATGCCGAAAATCAGGACAGTTGACCATACTGTGACTGAGATGTGGACCGTTTCTACAAGCTGAAGCTAGACTATGTGTACAAATGCTGGCACAGAGTAAGCAAGTGATGGAGGGTACACAGCCCTGCCAGGAGGGGAAGTCGGGTTCACACACAGGACAGTGCAATACTTGTAGGATAAGGAAGAAACAGGCATACAAAGATCAGGATGTAGGACAGCCTGGTACAAGCACAGTATCGTACGCAGCTTATCCCATCAACAGGCTTTTGCTTAGTGTGTGGATTGGTCTGTGAAAAAGAGTAGCTGGGATACATGGAACTTTGTGCTGGCCTGGGAGACATGCTTAGTGCTGAACCCTGTCACAGACAGGCACAGGCTAATGAGAAAGAGAGCACCCTGTCATGATGACAATAAACCTCACAGTCCTCATCACCAAAAGAGCCCACAGGTTGTCTTTGCACATTTAACCCTTGTGCTGGGTACCACTCAGCAGCTATAAGGTCTGGGTTCAATTTTGAGGTCTATATCTATTTTCCCTTGGCTGGAGCCCTCACGCAGACCACCTGGAAAACACTAAATTAATTACTAGGGTGTAACGCATGAGCAACCCTCTGCAGTGCAAGGATCCCCTCATTGCTCTTGGATAAATGGTAGTGTGGGGTGGGAGGGCAAGAGGGATATATGAGCACAGGTAAAAGGGCAGAGGTACCTGGGGAGTCAGATGTCCAGCAGGTTGCAGTGTGTCAGAACTCCACTGTGTATATTCATAGAATCATAGAAGTAGGGTCAGAAGGGACCTTGTAGATCATCAGGTCCAACCCCCTGCCCCCTGCCAGGAGAGAAACCCAGACTCAAATAACCCCAGTCAGGTAGGCGTCAGGCCTCCTCTTAAAGACCCCCAAGGTAGGAGCCAGCACCACTTCCCTTGGGAGTTGGTTCCAGATCCTAGCCACCCCAAGTGTGAAGTAGTGCCTTCCGATGTCTAGTCTAAACCTACTCTCTAACAACTTGTGGCCATTATTCCTTGTTACCCCACGGGGGGCCTAGGGGGAACAAGGTCTCTCCCAAACCCTGCTGGTCCCCGCTAGGGAGTTTATAGGTGGCCACTAGGTCCCCCCTCAGCCTTCTCTTGTGAAGGCTGAACAGGTTAAGGTCTCATAGCCTCTCTTCATAGAGCCTGCCCTGCTGCCCCCTGATCATGTGGGTGGCCTCCTCTGGACCCTCTCCATGTTGTCCACATCCCTCCTGAAGTGCAGCGCCCAGAACTGAACACAGTACTCCAGCTGTGGCCTGACCAGTGTTGCATACAGGAGGAGGATCACTTGCTTGGCCCTGCTTGAGATGCATCTGTGCATGCACGGCAACCTACAGTTAGCCCTACTGACTGTGACCTCACATTGGTGGCCCATGTTCATCAATGACGACTCCAAGATCTCTTTCTGCTCTCTAGAAGGGAGTTTCCCAGCTTATAAATGCTGCTGGTTCCTACTACCCAAGTGCAGCACCCTGCACTTGTCAGTATTGAAACCCATCCTATTTTTGTTAT